GGAACACTTATTTGTTGGCAACAAATTATCTGGAGTTAATGTGATTACAAAGTTACCTCAGTTTTATTATCAGTTCATCTCATACATCCTACCCCTGATTCCACCTGACCTTTCCTCCTCTAAATTAAATAAAACATTTTCTTTATTTTGAACTTTCAAAAGCCCCTTGTGTGCCATTTCAGAAGCTGAATATAAGATGGCAATTGTGTGTCTTCCCTCGGTTCTGTGGGTTGGGCCAGCATATCTCTCTGTCTGTCTGTCTGTCTGTCTGTCTGTCTGTCTGTCTGTCTGTCTCTCTCTCTCTCTCTCTCTCTCTCTCTCTCATATATACATATACATACATATATATACACACACACACACACATATATATATAATATACACACACACATATACATACATATATGTGTGTGTGTGCGTGTGTGTGTCTAGGTGGGACAGCCATAGACAGACAAATAAGAAGAAAATAGATAAAGGGGCTGCTTAGCAAGAAAGAAAAAATGGGAAATCCTGTGCATGAGGGAGGGGAAAGTGTGAGACTGCCATGACATGCTTTCTGTATCTTTATCCATCCTAGGTAGTTAGACTAGATTAGAAACCTATCTCTAATCCATCCTGTCTAGAACAGAATTCATTACAATAAAGGACTTATGTTAGTTTGCTAAGATAAAAAAGGCTCCATGTGTGACTTTATTCTCCAAGTGTGCACCCCACCTCCCTGGTAATTCCACTGTGCTATGTGCCTTGAGCATCTGCTAATCTAATATTCCATCAGTTTTGGCCTGTTGAGCCAGGAAAGCAACTGAGCCAAGAACCACCTGCATTATGGCACACTTTCAGCAAAGATGACATGCAGCCACAAAAACGTGGAACAGAGCCACATGCAGCATCAGAAACCACCACCACCCCTTAATTCCATCACAGAAATAGGAGGGAAACCAAAGTTCTCTCACAGATATATAATTTTCTTTTAAAATGCAGTGGGGGCTGGGTGGCAGCTGCGACTGAGGCAAGGGAAAGGGCACCAATATGGGCAGGATCTTCAAACATGCTCTGTCCATATGGCATGCAATGGCATTTTGGCTGCAATCTTTCCAAAAAGATCATATCAGATTCTGTTTGGGAAAGCAAATCAGAGGAAATTCCAAAAAGTGGATTATTAAGGGATGGTGACATGTGGATGCTAAAAACAAACAAACAAAGAAAAAGAGCTACCATCCTGGATGCCTAACTGGAGAAAAACCACTGTTATAGAAGCAACCTTCTCCGCTAGCTATCAGAAGTCACTGAAAGTTGGAGGGAAGGGACTGCCTTATTTTCCATGCGTTTTCCATCTGCCATTAAAAGTTCTCCAAGTCTTTCCCCCCAAAGTGTAACACACCAGCTGGGGCCAATTAAGAACCACTGATCTAAGTTAAGCCTATCTCAGTTCTTTCCTTTACCACATTTGTTTGTTTATATTCTCTCCCCCCACCCCCATCCGATATTAATTAGGTGATTTGAGCTCCTTGTTTGGAAATTTCCATATCTGCTTAGCTTGCATCTTTTCCAGATCAGATGATAAAAAGAAGTATTAAGGCTAGTAATACAAATATCAGTATGCATAACTGAACGTGTATTTTATTTTGTCGTGTACTGTGTTGCTCTTTGTTAGCCATGTTAGAGCCACTAACTGCTCTAGCCATCTCTGTTTATTGAACTAATTTTTTTAGTAGTCCAGTCCTTGTCTAGTTTAAAAAAAAAAAACAGCTACAAGCAATGGAGACCTTAGGAAAGCTTACAGGGACTGGAAAAACAATTTTCCATATTCAGGGCATGATTGATCTTGGTTGATCATTGTAGTATCCTGTTTCATAAATCCTTGTTTTCCACATTATTCTGAAGATCCTGTCCTTTCTTCTTAATACTCTGCATTAATCTTACTTTGTTAACTATGCATTTTACTATTCTTTTCTCATTTATATTGTGAAACAGAAATTATTTCTGCTGGGGCAGTATGGATTGGGCTATCTGATAATTAAGTTTACAGCTACGGGTTTCCAGTTTCTTGTACTTAGATGAGCACATAAAACCATTAAGACTAGAAAGTTCTTAATACAATGAATACACTTACAGGGCAATCCACAACACTTCTAACTCCACTGAAGTTAATGAGCTTGGAAGGGTGTAACTCTACTTATGACTGCACTGTTAGCAAAGCACCACCAAATGCCTTAGGCATGCAATAGACAAAGTAGAAAATACCAAGGCTCATGAACCAATATAACATGGAGAAATTGATTCTATGCTCCAAGTATAGAAACGGACACATGTTTAGTAGAAGTTCCCCTAGTTCAGTGGTTGTCCAACTGTGATCAGGACTCAAAAGCAGGATGTGACTGTCTCACATGTGGGTTGTGACCAGGGCTCTAGTCGGGGGGGAGCTCTCAGGTACGGAGCTCCGGAAGAGAACCTCTAGGGGGCGGGGCAGTCACGTGGTGAAGCCCCGCCCCCTTCTTTACCCCGCCCTCTGCTTCGATCCTCATTCCGTTTGGGAATGAGGATGAAGCAGGAGGGTAAGTAGCCGGGCCTTCTGACACACTTCCGGTGATGTCAGGGGGTGTGGCCTTCTGTCACTTCCGGTGATGTCAGGGGGCGTGGCATATGCAAATAAGTTATGCTAATGAGTTATGCTAATGAGCTTCGGCAGCTCTTTTTCTACAACAAGACCCCTGGTTGTGACACAGGGAAGGAAAGGAAACAAAATGCCAAATTAATAGGCCACCTAGTGAGTTTATGGCCAAGATGCTATTTGAACTGGTAGCTTCCTAGGTCAGAGCTCATTGCAGTTCTTTCTTTTTCATTGCACTATTTAGTGGATTCAGTAAACAATGTCTCAATCAACTGTATGCCTCCAAGAAAGAAATCATATCACTGTTTTCCTGATACTGCATTGTTTTTAAGTTATACAAATGATGACATACCAAGAGAGTGTGGCAGGATGAGCATTCTTTTATGTATTTTGGAAGACTTTCCCCTAAGACATTTAATATTGCTGAGCAATCTAATTTTATTGGTACCTGATGGATACACCAATCTCATATACCGTTCAGGTAGTTAATATAGTGGGTATGGCTCTATGCACATGTATAATATTTTTGGTGTTTCAATCAGTTTCCTTCCCCCCCCCCACTCCAAGTATACTAAACTTCCCCCTTGAAAACATTTTCAAGAGAATCCAATAGAGTACAATGCAATGGAAAAAGAAAGCAACATTGCATGTGGATCCCATAGCAAGTGGTTTGCCCTCTCGCCTGAGCCATCTAGAGTGGTATGCTCCATTCAGACTTTAGAAGTTTGTTTCCTATCCTTTATAGGACTAGCTTAGGTGAGTTAGCCTTCAAGGCATCTGGTTACACAGGAATCCTTATGCCAGCTTTGCTCAAGTCCATGTAATCTGTCCTTCCACGCTTCTGCTGTCTCCTGTTTTAGAGGGATATGTTCCTGTCACTGCTGTTTGGCCCCCTGTGCCACAAAGGGCCACCTGTCTACTACCTGTGTCATTGAAGACTGTACAAAGGTAGGACTGAAAGGCCTGTCTTAAGGACTAAAATACTATCACCAACTATCTCAATCCTGGCCAGTGTGTGATGCAAAAACAAGAGGAAAGCAGTTGGAGCTTTGCATGCCTCCGTCTGAACTGTCTTGTCATTATGCTTATGCTTCTGTCTCCCATTTTAGTTACACCTCCCTTTGATCCAAAGGAAAAGACAAGCAACAGGGTTAAGCTCAGCAGAATTAATAAACACATCATTTCATATCCCTTAAAATATCCATTTGCATCCCTTCCTTCTTTCACATGTCATTGCATCATTCTGTTTCAACCTCTCTTTTCCCACCCACAAGAATGATATTAATACCACAGGCTGCAAAATATGTAATTGTTCTAACTAAAGTGCAATTGCTCTGAACTAATGGCTGCAGTCTGTCACACATAACTCCTCTGCCGATGTCATAGACAGCAATTTTGGCTGCTCTGTGTCTAACAGTAAATGCAGAAGTAAAACAAAAATGGAATTTGAGGGTTTGCAGAATCCTTTCCCATTAATTGTGTAACAAGCCCCAAGAATAAAGTGGCACAAAAGTTTGAAAAGATGGCAATTATTTCTTGGATGTCTATTAAGTTCCTCTAGCCAGTCATTTACTGTTTTATATGCTATACCAGAGATGATCACAGGCATCTAAAAATAACCTTCCATCATAACAACATGTGCTGATGATGGCATCCCTAGATCATGGAGGAGTATTCTTGGTAAGTTTGCTACTTGGATTTGATTGATAACTTTTGCAACCATTAGTGTGTTTGTGTGTGTTGGGTTTTTTTGTCTCCCTCCCAAATACCACATATCAGTGATGCTTTCTTTCTTTAAAACCAAGACTCTGTACACTTTCCTACAGAGCAGTGAAGTGTTTGATGTTTACAACTGTTGGGTTAATAAAACAGAATTTATGGGCACCGGCTGGTCTGGAAAGACTAGCTGCTGTGAGCAAAAGTTTATCTCCCCCTCCTTGACTATTCAGATTGTTCATCTAGAAATCAAAGAGCTCTCATAGTTATGTGGCACCTACCGATACAATTAAATTTGGTTTGTTCTTTCTCGTTTTTAAAACAGGTTTGTAACTGTGGCCACAACTACTGTATCCTGACATTTAACTGTGTACAAAAAAGGACTGAAGTAATTATTTTGTATCATGCCTATTGTATGTATGAGGAAATGTGAGCTATTTCTCTGAAGCAATTAAATTCTTCAAGAGCAATCCTGACTATCAGATTTCACAAATGTGCATGATTTGGACACAGTAGGGATGGATATAAGGATTCCCTTCTGCTGAATGAGGAATGCTGTACAGAAAAAGAAAGCTTCCTCCATCTAATGGAAAGGAGGGCTTAGATTCTACCCACAGTATTAATATGTAGTAACAGTTGTATATAAAAAGAGAAGTACACTATCTACATTTACCTACTCTGATCCCAGTTGGCTGCAAAAAGCAAAAGTATCTTCCGACCATAGTGATCTCTGTTTTCCAGGACTCCAGGAAATCCATCAATCAGAGCCCGTTTGATCCCTGGATCATCAGCCTTGAAATTTTTGAACATATCCAGGTTCATTTGACGGTACTGAAAGTACTGAGCCAGTAACCTGAAGGCATCTGTTTGGTGAAACTTTCTGGCTCGGAGAAACCTCAAGATGAAGGCATCATCTGTACGTAAAAATCCAATGTCAGGCCTTGTGATGATCATATCCCTGACTTGTTGGATGTCCTGGTGCAAAACATCTGGGTTTTCATTGAGCTCCAGGCGGGCTTTCTCTATAGTCTCTGGACTGAGTCCAGCATGTAAATGAGTCATCTTTGTAAAAGTCTCGATTCCAAATACTTCAGATGTATGATTAGCAGATAAGCTGGTCCCATTCAACTAGTAGTCTGTGAGAAGTATGATCCATTCATCTGCTTGAATTATATTGAAGGGCACAACTGGTAGTTGTTTTCCACATTCATGCAAAGCGGTCTCACATTCAGTCCATATTCAATGGAACAATCCAACAAAGTAGCCACTTGCGTGATCATTCACTGTAAAACAAACACAAAAAGCACAGATTACTTGTGTGCAAATGGTGCATGTATTAAGTCATTTTCCACGGTAGGTGCTTTCTTCTTTATTGTTACTGCCAATCTGATCAAAATTTAAAAACTCCAATCTCACCTGTTTTAGAATGGGATAGTTAGTGCAATGATATCATTATATATCTTGCATCATAATATAAAGGCATTATGAACACAGCCTGATGAATTTATAATTGGACAGAGCCTTTAGCACTGCCGAAATTGCACTGATTTCATGTTATATTACAATTCCATATTTAATTGAATGCAGATAATAATGGAAGACATTGAGAGATCCATCCAGATAGGGCAGTGCTAGTCTCACAGCAGAAGATCATATCCAGTGCCAGCCTGAAGAAGCAATGCCAAAAAACTTTTTTGTGTATTAGCACAGAACTCCATTACAGATGAGACCACAATTTTTGAAGAGTCACACTCACAGTATTAAAAATGACCACTAGTTAAATAGGAGGTTGTTCACATATTAGGCTACTAATACTGCTTGTATCAAATATAAATTCACCTTAAAGTTACATGCAGGCTGTGTGAACATCTATAGTCTTCAAGTGCCCTTTGTACAAGTTATCTTTCAGATGATATAAAGAAGTGCTACCGGTCGGTACAAATCTCACATCCATAGCAATGCTTGCAAAAGGAACCTGCAAAAAGACAGCCAGTGTAGCGCCATAACTAAACTGCTGGATTTGAACACTGGAAATATGGTTGCACATCCTTAGTTAGCTAGGCCTGTTGAATAGCCTGTTCTGAACTGGGTGATCCAGACTACCCCAGTCTCCTCAGATCTCAGAAGCGAAGCAGGGTCGACCCTGGTTAGGATTTGGATGGGAAACCAGCAGGGAAGTCCACGGTTGCTCTGCAGAGGCCGGCAATGGCAATTGGCAAACCACCTCTGCTGGGTTGCTCTGCAGGGGCCGGCAATGGCAAACCACCTCTGCTCATCTCTTGCCTTGAAAACCCTACAGATTTGCTGTAAGTTACTTGCAGCTTCATGGCACTTTCCACCATCACTGAATGGCCTTCCACAAGTCAAACTTTCAGCCAAGTTCACCTTAGAAGCTTGTTCTAAGGCTAAAATTACAGGATGTACAGTAACCAATGTGAGTCTGAATCCAAGACACCCTATTCTTCAATATCATTTTTATAACTCATCCTAACTGGAATACAAACAATAGTTGGTAATATTAGAAAGTGTTAGGATCTCTCCATTATTTTGATACCTCTCTGATTGATTCAGAGGTCAAAGTGAGAAGGTGAGGGAGGAGAGAAATTGAGGCTCCCTCTACACATTGGAAGTCCTTGTGTTCCCTGGGAAATAACATGAGGACTTTGTGTCACATGTGTTTGGAAGTTTTGTGCCTCCCGTCCCAAACACACACCAGCTCTTTCCTGTTTGTGACCAAAATGTGCAGGGAGAAGCAACTGAGGTCTCTAACCCACCCGCCCCCACACTATTTTCATATCTGCAGACTGGTCCATGGAGCCACTATTATTTCTATGGTAAAAATCACATTACTTACATGGCTATATGTAAGTTTCATGACAAAGCCAATAGGGACTCAATGGGGTGGTTTGTGGATGTGAAAATGGCATTGGGGGGGGGGAAGCTAAAGCTACTTCTCCCTGCATGTTACAGTCACAAACAGAAAAAAGCCTGTACACATCTGGGAGGCACAAAACTGCCATCCCTCGTGTAATCCACAGTCCTCATATCGTTCCCCCAGCAAACACTAGGACTTTGTAATGTGAAGATGGAACCTAACTTGGCAGATTTGTAATTGACAGGGACATTCCCTACTCAACAGAATCACACACAGACCTTGCCACCAAAAAGATTGCACTGATAGCTCTGTCCTTCCAAAGTGCTGTCTAGTTTGGAGTTAGGACTTTGATTTAGTCCTATAGAAACACAAATTGTAATGTGCATTGGTTGATATATTTTTTTGCTAGGCAAATGTTTTGGCATATAGGCGGGCAGTGGGGGCGTGATGGGGGAGTGGAGGCACATGCCACACTTGTCCACTCCAGTGATAGGCAGCAACTGCTATTAGACAAACATAGGCAAAGATTTTGCATACATATGCTGGCCATTCAGCTCAACAGGGCTGAAGGCTATTCCCACCCCCACCCCAGGTGACTGGTAGCATCTGCTGTGCTGACTTAATTTGTGTGCACTGCAATCAGTAATACACAGAAAGAAAGGCAGAGGCTAAGGCCAAACCAGATAAGATGCAAGAAAACCACTGATGAAGATGTTTGTGATATCTTCTTTAATTTCATTTAAAAGCAGTTGCATTGTTTCCCTAAGTAAAATTGCTCTCCCCAGCTGCTATTAAGCCTCAGTAAGGAACAGAGACAGGCAAACCCCGGTGTAAAGAAAGTGTGGGGGGGCAGTGTTCCCTCTAAGCTGAGTTAGTGTGAGCTAGCTCACAGTTTTTTAGCCTCCGACTCACAGATTTTTGTCTTAGCTCAGGAAGGATGGCTCAAGGGCAAACTAATTAATGCAGCAGCCAAATCCCTTGCTCACAACTTTAATGCCAGTAGCTCACAAAGTAGAATTTTTGCTTGGAAGACTCCACAGCTTAGAATGAGCATTGATGCATTGGGGAGGGGGTGTCTGATCAATTTTCAAACTGGAATGAACAGGTGAGGGCAGCTAAATCCTGACCCTTCCTATACCTTGGCTCACGATGCACTATTTCATTTCACCATTTTTCTCCTATCCTGGCTGGGCTGGGGAAAAATGCTGCTGGACTGTAAGAAAAATGTTCCAAGTGTTACAGGGCACTAAGATAAAGCCTGGAAAGTGGAGGGATTTAGCTAACCTCACCTGCTCTTTATTTATTTATTAAATTTATACTCCGCCCTACCCTGCAAGCGGGCTCAGGGCGGCTTACATAATTGGTCTATAGGTGACTGTACATTCACATAAAAACAATTTAAAATTCAATACAATAAGATAAAACAAAAACTCATAAAGTGCTACTACTAATACATTGAATGCATAAGATGGCATGCTGAAATTACCATACAACCAGGCAGTTTTGCTCAATGATCTTCCGGAGCACAGTGGTAGCGGCCAGATGTTAGTACTACGGGCCGGCTCGTTGGTGGTTGGGGGGGGCTCCTAGTTGAAAGCCTGGTGGAAGAGCTCCGTCTTGCAGGCCCTGCGGAACTGCATAAGATCCCGCAAGGCCCTGATCTCCTCCGGGAGCTCATTCCACCAGTGCGGAGCCGCCACCAAAAAGGCCCTGGCCCTAGTAGTGGCGAGCCTGGCATCCTTGGGGCCCAGTAGGGCCAGTCAGTTCTGGGATCCCGACCTCAGTGCTCTTTGGGGTATATATGGGAAAAGGCGGTCCCGCAGGTATGTCGGACCCTGGCCATATAGGGCTTTAAAGGTAAGCACCAGAACCTTGAAGCGAATTCAGTATGCTATTGGCAGCCAGTGCAGCGCCTTCAGCACAGGCTGGATGTGTTCCCATCTGGGAAGTCCCATCAATGGCCTGGCCGCGGCATTCTGCACCAGCTGCAGCTTCCGAATTTGCGACAAGGGCAGCCCCATGTAGAGAGCATTACAGTAGTCTAGCCTCGAGGTGACCGTTGAATGGATCACCATAGCCAGGTCATTGCGGCCGAGGAAGGGAACCAGCTGCCTGATCAGCCGAAGATGGTAAAAGGCTGACCTGGCAGTGGCTGCCACCTGGGCCTCCATTGTTAAGGAGGAATCCAGAACCACTCCCAGACTCCTAACCTCCGGCG